GTGAGACCCCAACCCAAAAAAAAAAAAAAGAGAGAGAGAGAGAGAGAGAGAGAACTGGTCCTCAAAATCCCCAGAAGGACATCTTCTCCTGGGATTGGCGAAGAATCTGGTTCTTAAGCTCATTCTCTACTCCAGGGAAAGACAAGTCATTGAAAAATAAGGATTTCCTCTTATTGCCCCATCAAAGACGCATGGGAGCTGCAGGGGACGGGACCATTGAGGATGGACATAGCAGGATGGGACCTCCGTTGACCAAGTCAGGATGCACATTTCCTGGGATGCCAGCTGAGCCCTCCGCCCTCCTAGAGGAGGAAGGAACCAAAAGACAACTAGAGAGGCAGGAAAGTGGGACGAAAGCAAGCAACCCTGCTGAAAGAAGTGGAGGCAGGAGCCAGGCCTGGGGGTGCGTGGGGAGAGCGTGGGAGGGAAGGAAAGGAGAAGCTTTGTGGAAAGGAGGGTGAGCAAGCAAGAGAGGACAGAAAACCCCTCGTCGAGAAGAATGCAACTCAAGGCCAAGGGAGGCATCTTCCTGCAGAAGGAGCTGGCAGGTGCTGAGTGGCACCTGCAGTCTAAGCAGGCAGGACGCTGCCAGGACCTCACCTGGGTCCTCCCTGAACACGGGGCCTTCTTGTCAGTAAAGACAACATCCACTGTTGATACCGCCATGGGGCAAAAATGCCGTGGCATTCCACACCACCCAAGGAAAAATTGCTATTATTTCTGCCTTCCACTCGTATTCCTACTCTGACTCAGTAATTCTAACTTAGGGAATGCTGGGCAGCTCAACATACCAGATAAAACTTTTGTCTATCCCGTCTTGCTCATTCTGCAATTTGGACTTACGTGTCCCCACGCCCCAGGGAAGTCTCCTCGAGCACCCTGGCCTAGGTTCGATCCTAGGGGTTGTATATTCCATCATGCCCTGAGTTCTTTTTTTTTGAGTTGGAGTCTCACTGTGTCGCCCAGACTGGAGTGCAGTGGCCGTTCCCAGCCACCGCAGCCTCGACCTGCTGGGCTCCGGTGATCCTTCCACCTCAGCCTTCCGAGTAGCCGGAGTTACAGGCATGTGCTCCCACGCCCGGCTGATTTTTTGATTTATTGTCGAGATGAGGTCTCGCTGCCCAGGCGGGTCTCGAACCCGCGGGCTCAGGCAATCCACTCACCTCAGCCTCCCAAAGGCGCGGGATGACAGGCTGAGCCACCGAGCCCGGCTGTGCCCTGAATTCTTTCTCCATCACATGGTTACCACTGTAGTCACTGACGCGTTCAATCATAGGCTTACTCTCTGTATCCATGGCCGAAATGTAAGCCCCGAAGCAGGATATGTCTATCTGAAACACCCATTGCCAGCCTAGTACCCAGGACACAGCAGCACAGAATGAAAACCTGAAGTCGAATGAATAAAAGAATCCTAATGATATCCCTAGAAGAGCCATGGAGGAGCAGAACTTACTGCACAACTTGTTCTGGAACACGGAGGTCAGCGTCTCGATCTGGCTAAAGTTGGCCACCAGGAAGACATGGTCCTCATGGGGCTCACTTCCAATGGCCCTCAGTGTGTTGAAGTCTACCTGGCCCACACCAATGGCAAAGATGAGGATGCCCGTGTCCCGGGCCTTTGCGGCCACTTCGGCCACTGAGTCCTGCGGCCTCCCGTCCGTCACTATCATTATGACCCGTGGCACATTCTCTCTCAGGGGCCGGGCCCCCTCTGCTTCTGAGAATGCTATATTCAGGGCGTACTGGATGGCCAACCCCGTCATGGTGCCCGTGGACAGATGCCGCATCCTCTTGACAGCACGTTCCACCTCAGACTTCCTCTTGAAGGTCTTGAGGGAGAACTCATTCTTGACAGTGCTGCCATATTGGAGCAGGCCTACCCGGGTGACATCAGGGCCAATGTCCAAGAACTGCAAAATGTCCACGATGAACTCCTTGACCTTCGCGTAGTCATGGGTGTTGACGCTTCGGGAGCTATCAATGATGAAGACCAGATCTGCCCGCTTATTCTCACAGGAGCTCTCTGGGGGAAAAGGAGAGGTCAAACCCATCAGAAGAGAGTCAGGGATCCACCACAGACTGCCTATTGTTGGAAATCCTAGGGTTGATAATCACCTTTCTATTGTATTGTATTGTATTGTTGCTTTTTGTTTTTTGAGTAGGAGTTTCACTTTGTCACCCAGGCGGGAGTACAGTTGCACAATCATGGCCACCGTAGCCTTGACATGCTGGGCTCAGGTGATCCTTCCACCTCAGCCTTCCAAGTAGCTGGAACCACAGGCGTGCACCACCACGCCTGGCTAATTTTTTGATTTATTGTAGAGACAAGGTCTTGCCAAGTTGCCCAGGCTGGTCTCAAACCCCTGGACTCAGGCAATCCTCTCACCTCTGCCTCCCAAAGTGCTGGGATTACAGACATGAGCCACCACGCCCAGCTGATGATCACCTTTCAACCCTCCAGTCTTCCTCTCCACTCAGGGAAATTATAAGTGTATATGCATGCCGGGCTAGATGATCATGACTATTGGCTACAAACACATAAGATTTCTTTTCGCAAGACAAATGAACATATTGATTTCTAGAAAGTTGTCGATGCAGTTTTCAGGCAAACACCTGATCAGGGTCAAAATTATTTTATTAGTTACCACACACACAGCACATAAGTTTGGCTGGACACTCCAGAGAATCTAAGAGAAGCTTAGGACAGGGTCTAGTGTCAAAGAGCTCCCAGGATACCTGGGAAGGCTTAATTCATAGAGCCATGAGAGAACAACTAGCATGAAACTGTGTGGTTCTGACAATAGATGTGAAGAGAATCGGGATATTAGTGGGCTGGGACCAAGTAGATGGGACAGGAGCTGGCCTTGTGGATGAATGGAGTTTGGATTGAGAAAAGGGACACATGGAGAGAGACCATGAGCAAAAGCCCAAGGTGGAATGAATGTGGTGGATAAGAGAATAAGTGATGAGACCTTGGAGTAGAAGGAACACTAGGAGTTCCAAGCAGGAATTAACTGGAGGGATAACCTAGTATAAAAGACCTTCAGGCCAAGTGCAGTGGCTCACGCCTGTAATCTCAGCACTTTGGGATACTGAGGCAGGCATAGTGCTTGAGCACAGGAGTTCGAGACCGAACTGGGCAACATAGAAAAACTTCATCTCTATAAAAAATTAGCCGGGCATGGTGGTGCATACCGGTAGTCCCAGATACTCAGGAGGCTGAGGTGGAAGAATCGCCTGAGCCCAGGAGGTTGAGGCTGCCAAGAGCCATGATTGCACTACTGCATTCCAGCCTCGGCAATAGAGTGAGACTTCAACTCAAAAACAAAATAAAATACCTTTAAATTCAGACTAAGAAATGTATGCATGATGCCACCAGTGATGGGGTATCTTAGCTTACTGTGAAACTTGCCTCTCCCTCAGAGAAATTATATAATAAAAAGTCAGTTGAGGGCAGGCATGGTGGCTCATGCCTATATCCCAACACTTTGGGAGGCTAAGGCAGGAGGATTACTTGAGCCCAGGAGTTCGAGACCAGCCTGGGCAACATAGTGAGATCTCGTCTCTACAAAAAATAAAAAATTTAGCCAAGCGTGATGGTGCATGCTTGTAGTCCCAGCTACTTGGGAGAGTGAGGCAAAAGGACCAATTGAATCCAGGAGGCTGAGACTGCAGTGAGCTGTGATTGCATCATTGCACTCCAGCATGGGTGACAGAGTGAGACCTCAATGCCAAAAAAAAAAAAGAGAGAGAGAAAAGAAAAAAGAAGTAAGTTTAACCTGAAGCCTGACAGTAATTACCAAGGTAGATAGTCCACACAATTGTTGCACTTCTCTCTCTCTTTTTTTTTTTTTTTTTTTTTGAGTTAAGAGTGTCTGTCACCTAGGCTGGAGTGCAGTGGCACGCTCCCGGCTACAGCAACCTCGACCTGCAGAACTCAGGTGATCCTTCTGCCTCAGCCTTCCAAGTAGCTGGAATTACAGGCACGGGCTACCATGCCTGGCTAATTTTTTAATTTATTGTAGAGATGAGGTCTCGCCAAGTTGCCCAGGCTAGTCTTGAACCTGTGGGCTCCGGCAATCCTCTCGCCTCAGCCTCCCAAAGTGCTGAGATTATAGGCATGAGCCACCGCGCCTGGCCAATTGTTGTCCTTCTAATCTAGTTGAGAGGAGGGACTCAGATGTCATCCCTGAAGGCAACCGTGGAAATGGGAAAAAAAAAACCCAAATAAGAAACATTTCAACAAAGAACACAGTTAAATGTGAAAAGGGCAAATATTGTCTCTCTGTCACCACCATGACTGCCATATTTATGGCTCAGGCATCTAAACGAGAAGGCTGTAAGAGGCTTAAATCTGGAGATAAAACCACTCCTTTCATGTTTCTGGGACAGGATGATGTTGGATGAGGAGAGACCCTCCTGCCTCAGTGATAGTCAGGCATTCCTGCTGGAATTTCTCAGGTATTCTTGAGCTACTGCTTTTAGCCGGGGCAAGTTCCCACCCTTCCCGGACTTTGCAGCTAAATCAGGATTTAAAAGGGATTAGGAAAGGGATCCCAAATGCTTGCCCTAAATCCCAATTGCCACAGCTGCAAGAAAAGAGAAAGAGCCAAAAATGAAACAGTGAAGCCAGTCATAAAAATGAAAAGTGGGGAAGGCCCATGAGGTCATCCTGTCCAGGCCGGCGTGCCAGGCCATGACTCGTCCCTTAGTGCCTGCACACACACAATGTCTTTGCAGTCTCACAAGACTAACAATATTAGGTGAGAAGGCACCCCCCCAAATGCCAGCAGCCTGGCAGGAAACCAACCCTCAGTCTCACCTATGTATAACACCAGGGGCCAAGTGAATTTAAGGTTAGTTTCTCAAGACAGAGGCCCAGGCTGGGCGTGTGGCTCATTTCTATAATCCCAGCACTTTGGGAAGCCAAGACAAAAGGATTGCATGAGCCGAGGGGTTTGAGACCAGCCTGGGCAACTTGGAGAGACCTCATTTCTACAACATATTCAAAAATTAGCTGGGTGTGGTGGTACACACCTATAGTTCCAGTTACTTGGAAGGCTGAGGCAGAAGGATCATCTGATCCCATCAGGTCGAGGCTATAGTGATAGTGGAAAAAAAAAAAGACATGTCTGGAAACTTGCCTTTGAAGACCCAGCCATAAGCTATATAAAATCTAGCATTTAGCCGGGCTCGGTGGCTCAGCCTGTAATCCCACACTTTGGGAGGCTAAGGTGAGTGGATTGCCTGAGCCCACGGTTCCCAGACCCGCCTGGGCAACTTGGCGAGACCTCATCTCTACAATAAATCAAAATGAGCCAGGTGT